TTTTTTTTTTTTTTTTCTGCAACTGCCATAGCTATAGAACATGTGAAATCTTAAAGACACGATCTTTGTTAATCTCAGATGGGGCTGTCCCTTTCTTGTTCTTCATTTCTGATTTGTGATTGTACTTGGGTTTGTTTACTTTTGAACTGTTCCTGTGTTGTGCTAGATGGGTTGTTGTGTTCACATGTCCTGAATTTTATCTCTCTTTTTTGCCCATTTCTTTAATTTTTTTTTTTTGGGCATTGAGAGTTTCTGTGGGGTTCAATGATTTTTTTTTTTTTTTTTTTTTTTTTTTTTTTTTTACTTTTGGTTAAATATGTTGATCTGCATCTTACACTCATATATCTGTGTGTTTTCCTGAGAATAACAGGGACAATTTTCTTTCAATTATATTTATATTTGTTTGCTGTCTGATCTATTTGGGATTTGTGAGGACTACTAGAGTTTCTTTTTGCTCATTGATATGATTTTTACCCACAAATTTGTGAAATCTGCTTCTCTGATGATACTCTTTATTTTCCATAAATTGTTTTCCTTACATGAGTGCTCTGTCTCAAGACTAACCTGCCCATGTGGCTGCATCTACAGATGGTGTCATGGTGATGGCTGATTTCCCTACAGAAAGGGTAGATTTTTTGCATTCGACCACCAAGTAATGGTCTTTTTGCAGCCCGATTCACAGTTCCAGTACTCATCACAATGGCTTCTGAACTTCGGACGAAAAGCTCTTTAGAAAAGCACAACAAACCCCTCTCAGGCCAATCTGTAGAAGGAAATTCTTGGAGGTCCACGAAAGAATTACCCAAAAATCTCGACAAATCTGCCCCGAAGAAACCCGCAGTCGAACTAACGAAATCCCTTAGCTCCTCAGCAGGCAAACCAGACCCCAAATTAATACCGGCTAACCCGAGGGAAACGAAGTCAAGCATTGACCAAACCACCGGTCTAGAAAAAAAAGCAGTGGAGAACTTCAAGGACAGCTCGGCATCTGCAAAGACGAGCGGTAGCGCGAAGATCAGTGAGAGGCTCGAATTCGTCGAGAGCGGGAAAAGCAGTCTTTGCAGAGGCAGCACGAGCACTGACATTAGTGACGAGAGCTCGTGCAGCAGCTTGAGCAGTGCGGTCAACAAGCCCCACAAGGCCAACGACCTGAGATGGGAGGCTATCCAGGCTGTTCGATCGAAAGATGGGGTTTTAGATCTGAGGCATTTCAGGCTGCTGAAAAAATTGGGGTGTGGGGACATTGGGAGCGTGTATCTCTCGGAGTTGTGTGGCACAAAGTGTTATTTTGCGATGAAGGTAATGGATAAGGCGTCCCTCGCCGGTCGGAAAAAGCTCCTGCGTGCCCAGACGGAAAGGGAAATACTGCAGTCCCTGGATCATCCGTTCCTCCCGAGTTTGTACACGCATTTCGAGACGGAGAAGTTCTCGTGTCTGGTGATGGAGTTCTGTCCAGGTGGGGACTTGCACACACTCAGGCAGAGGCAGCCAGGGAAGCATTTTTCGGAGCAGGCCGTGAAGTATGATACTTCTTTTACCTCTTTTTTTCTTAATGTTTTTATATTTTATTATCTTTGATTGAAGTTGATTTCATTAGTGGTTTAGGACTTTGGCCCAACCAGTGGTTGGAGTATCATTTTAGCTTCTTTGAGCGTAAAAGAAGATTTATAATTCCTTAACGAACATATGGACATTTAATCATTTTCCTTGGAAGTGATACACATATTGAAAGAAGGCCGAGAAGTAATTGTTGTGCATATCTGTAAACCTTCGCATTCCCCTTCATTTATACATGTTCTCTTTTTATTTCGTGTAAATTGGTTACTTAATTAGCACTCTGCACTTGTGGAGGTTTGTTTAGAGTGCTGCATATCATCTTCAACCTATATGGTTTCATGTTTTGCTTTTAGCAATCTTGTTTACATACTGCATATTCTTTGGCATATGTGGACTCCTTTTGAGGTGACGTTATCTCGGCATGTGTGAATTGTACTTTCTCTTGTTCCCCGTCTTGCTTATTACTATTTTGAGTCTGAGTGGCAGTGAGTTGAAAATGGAATGTACATACTCTACAATCTTCTCTGGTTTCATATTCACTATATGTCAACACAAAAACTTACTTCACTGCAAATCTTACTTTAACACGATCAATATGAATATCCTGGCACACAAGCTATGCTCAAGATCCAATCTTTGATCATATTGAATTTACTGCAACCAGAACCACATTTTATGAGTATTGTGTGTTCTTCGCTTGAGATTCATCCTCTCGATCTATAGTGTTAGTTGTCACTTATATGCTTGTTCTTTCTTTAGTCCTTACCTTTGTATGTTAGCAATTCAGCTTAACCGACACAATTGTTTCCTCCATCCCCATAAAAGTAAAAGAGATGACAACATGCTTCTTTCCAACTCCTTTTCCACATTTGCATACTGAGGAAATGAACATACTTGCCTTGTTTTCTGAAATTCTTCTCCAAAATGAATTTATGTTTTCAATTTGCCATGTTGTAATCTTCTACACACCTATATGAAATCATTCTGTATGATATATTCCCATTGTTTTCTAAATATATTTGCGTATTCTTTTTTTTTTTATTAATTTTTCTATTGTGGATGTAGATTTTACGTAGCGGAGGTCCTCCTAGCTTTAGAATACCTCCACATGCTTGGTATTGTGTACCGCGACCTCAAGCCCGAAAACGTCCTCGTCCGTGAGGACGGCCACATCATGCTCTCCGACTTTGACCTCTCCCTTCGCTGCACGGTCAGCCCCACTCTCATCAAATCTTCATCTACCCTCGACCCAGACCCAGCCCGCAGGAACCCCGTCTACTGCATCCAGCCCACCTGCATCCAGCCCCCCTCATGCGTAGGCCCCACCACATGCTTCGGGCCTCGCCTCTTCTCGGGCCGGTCCAAGAAGGACAGGAAGCCATCCAAGAATGAGATAGGGAACCAGGTGAGCCCGCTGCCCGAGCTCATAGCTGAGCCCACCGAGGCCCGCTCCATGTCGTTTGTCGGGACCCACGAGTACTTAGCCCCCGAGATCATCAAGGGCGAGGGCCACGGCAGCGCGGTCGACTGGTGGACGTTCGGTATTTTCCTCTACGAGCTGCTGTTCGGGAAGACCCCGTTCAAGGGGTCGGGCAACAGGGCCACGCTGTTCAACGTCGTGGGCCAGCCCTTGCGCTTTCCGGAGTCACCGGTGGTGAGCTTTGCCGCCAGGGATCTGATCAGAGGGCTGCTGGTGAAGGAGCCACAGAACAGGCTGGCGTACAAACGGGGAGCGACCGAGATCAAGCAACACCCTTTCTTCGAGGGTGTGAACTGGGCCCTGATCCGGTGTGCGAGCCCGCCGGAGGTGCCGAGGCCCGTCGAGATCGAGAGGGTCCCGGGCCCGGTGGCGGCTCCGCCGCCTGCTGCTGCTATAGTGAGGGTTGCGCCAGCTGGTGCAAAGGACAAGGGGGATAATTATTTGGAATTTGATTTCTTTTAGTGATGGGATTTTGCTTTTTTTTATTGGTTTTCTTGAAAATTAAAAATGTGAGATGTGGATTTTTCAGAGTTGATGATAAAAGGACTGGAAGAGGAAGGACCGTGGGTGTAGTTTGCTCTTTTTTGTATGTTGCTGTTGTGTTTTTTCTTGGACGAATGTTGGGAGCTTCTGAATGTTGTAATGCTGTTGTTATTTGTCAAATCTGTTAGTGGTGTAGCTTTTGATGGTTCCTTTTGGACTCAACTCTGTGTCCAAAATTTGATTTGATTTGATTTGATTTGATTGTTGCAGGTAAAAATTCGGAAAAGAAAAAGGTAGTTTCCACAAGTAGTTACTAAACACAGCCCCAATATTACTATTTATCGTCCCCGAAAAGTCGAAATCGCCCTCCACCCACACTCTCTCTCTTCTCCTCTCTTTCTCTCTTACCCCCGTTTCTCAATTCGGCTATTTCCGACGTCTGAAAAAATTCCGAAAAAATTCTTTCCACAATGGCCACTTTGACGTGGGATATTTTTTTTAAAAAAATATATATATTATATGCGCAAGAAAGGAAAACTGTGTAAGATGCCCAATATAGAAATGGTACTTTATGTCCAAAAAGAGAACATAATGTGAAGAATTGCGGTGAGCGTGGATCGAACACGCGACCTTCAGATCTTCAGTCTGACGCTCTCCCAACTGAGCTATCCCCGCTTATGTTTTAGTAGAATAATTATTATAATAATTTCATATTATTTGTTTAACTGAATATTAAAATAATGACCTATCAATAAATATATCAGGGATCCATACAAAATTATTAATTTCTCTAACAAATACGAGCGAGGAACCATGAGCAAGCAAAACATGCTGAAATGTTGATGCGCCTAATATTTTTATTTTTATTTTTTTTTTTTGGTACAAAAGAAGGAGGCAAAAGCCTAAGTCGATTAGACAATTATACGCCACGGATAAACAATCCCAATAAAGTCATGCTGTAACCACGGTTTGATGCGCCTAAATTATTTGAAGATAATACTGCAAAGTACTCAAGTAATTTGAACAAGTTATAAAGTCTCGTGAAAGGGAATAGTAGGATTATTCAACTTCTTTTTATGAGGGACACATGCCTAATTTTAACAGTTACCTTCTTTTTTTTTTTGCTTTTTTTTTTT